ACAGGGAGAAACAAAAAACAGAGAAAGATGTAAATCTGATTAAATAGAGTTTTAGTGGGTGAAAATGAGACAGGAAGGGGAGTGTGCAGTCAGATGGAAGGAAGGAGGGCAGGGAGCTCTGTGAAGGGGGGAACCTCATAAAAGCATCATTAGGGACGAGGCTGTATCTTCAGGAACGGTGTCTCACACTTACAGCTTGTTAGGGCTTCCACTCAGCAGAGAGTAGGCCAAGTTCAAGGTCTCAAGTGGGGCTGTGTGTCAGAACACATGGTGGGAAATGGATACATAAAAACAAAGTTTTGCATGTCTGACACTTGGGTCTCAAAGAAAGGAAAAACCACCTACAAAAATAAACCACTCCTTCTTGTTGTCTTAACCGCTGCAGCAAAAACAGTTTTCTGTAAAACAAATAAATTGCACTTTGAATATTAACATACATGTTGTTGAGCTGGGGATCTCTCTGCTATATAGGATATCATGTTCACTTCCAAATACTTAGTTAATAATGTCAGACTGAGGATTTGCTCAAACCTCTGTGACTGTATTCAAAAGCAAAGAGTGACAGGAACATACTGTTGAGCACTGGAAAAAAAAAAACCACAATAAAGACAGCTGCACATAATGTATGATTTAAACTGTGGCCTATATGAATTGCCAATATATAACATCCGGCTGCCATATGGATCTGCTGGAATGATGAGACAGGCAGCACACTTGTATTTCTGTTTCAGTAATGTTTTACAGGCTATGTTAATTTGTGAGACATGGCTACAGCCTGGTTTACCTTTGTGCTTCTGTCAGCATTTAACCACCACAGCATGTTGTTATGTTTGATGTGTGCATAATAAAAGATATATTTATGAATCCTCTTATTCAAAATTCTTAATTGAAATGTTTTGTTAGCTTTCATCTAGCCCCATTCTGCATGCCAAAGAAACAGTGACTTGAAGAATCTCAGTCGGCTGACGGGTCTCCTGTCTGATGATTAGACTAGCTGACTTTCAGTGGGGCAGCCCTAACAGTGTCTCCTGATGTCGTCTAATTATATGCAGTACACAAGTTAGTAAAAATTGTACCTCACAGGAAAGAACTCAATAGGAAAATAAGACACAGATCATGAATTTCCTTTAAAACCTGTCAACCATGTTCAAACCCGTGTCACTGAGGCTATTCAGGCTGCAAGCTGTTTGGCTGAACTCTGAATAAAACCATGAAACACACACTCATTCTCAACCCCGTCTGCTTGTGTTGACCCTCGTGGGATTTCTCGCACATATCTGAAATGTTGGTTATATGTTACTATGCATGAGTATGTGGAATGTGGGAATGGTTTTGGCTCCAATAATTTGCCATCAGCTCTCTGTGTACACAGTCCTCTGAAAACAAATGCTGAAGATATTACCTGGCCCACTGAGGGATACGAACCAGATTTTAGCTTACACCTGTAAGGTCAGCAGTTCACTTGTGGCTTGTTGTGGAATTGTGTGACTGACACTGATGCATGCAGTTGTTCAACATCCAGTACATGATGATTCATCTTGGAAAAACATGCCACATTTAAATCACCTGAATTTTTAAATCTTCACCGAACTGTTTGAAATATGCATGGTCATGATTCTTAAAGTTTTCTTATTGAAACTTGGTAATACGCTACGTGGTTTTTACTGCACGCTGACAATTTGTGACAAAATAATCAATGTTAGAGAAAAATGTACAATGCAGTACAGTCCAATATGGTCGTTTGTCTCTTCCCTCTCATACAATGCATTAAAGTTGTATTAAGTGCTCATTAAATAGCGCACCTACAGCTGTGGGAGGAATTGCAACAATCCCGTCAACACAATGGCTAGCTAGCAGGCTAGCTAATAAATATGACCCTAAGGTTATGAAACCATCATGATTTCATTACATTTTGCCACGGAAGACACTTGGTTTAGACACAAAAAATACTTGGTTACATTTAGGGAAAAGTCTTGATCATGTTTAGGAACAAAGCCACGTTGTTATGCTTAGAAAAATACTCTTTAAAAAGAAAAGCCAAACACTGGAAGTGAATTTGCACCTCCTGTGTTGTGCTGTGTGTACCTAGCCATCCACCCTAACCTCCTCCCAGTGTGCCTCCACAGGATATACGTACTCCTTTTCTGTCATAATTAATATGGTCACTAGTGCCGCCAAACTATGACGTAACATTTTGTCGTAATAATCTGCCGGACTAAATGACATATACTGTTGTATTTTACAAGAAGACAGTGTCAGCAAATCACTCAACAACTGCCATTTTATCTCTACTTTGTGCTACAAAAACAAAAAAGTTTGTTTGTGATTAATCTGTCTACTAATGTTTGGGCCAAGATGATGCTTTCAAAGGACATTTTGTCCAATCAACAGTCCAAACCCAAAGTTATCACATTTAAGAAGCTAGAACCAGTGTGTGTTTGGCATTTTTGTCTAAAATATAACTAACAAACCAACAATTATCAGCACTGCTGCAGATTAGTTTTCAGTCAATCAATCAAGTTCATACATTTTTACAGCTCTACACCTCAACTTTAACAATGGACTCACTTCATACCCACAAAGAACATACAAACAAAAATGTAATTTCAGAAACTTCACACTAGTATGGATGTAACGTCGGCACAGGCCAACCCCTACATCAGAAGTTAAGTAAATATGTTTCTGGCTTGGCAAGCAAATCAATCAATTAGCTGATCCATTTATCTGTCAGTGCATCTAATTGTGAGGCCTCAGCTTGGCCACAAAATCTATTACATCTGTCTGTGATGATAAATGTACTGCACATTAAAGACAGATCAAAAGCCTGCTTAGTCCTGACTCTCATGATGGCTGCCTTGTCCAGACAAGTTCAGTGTTCTGGCAGGTCTACCCAGCTTCACTTTAAATGTGTTTGGCCATTCCACCTCAATGCTGAGGCCACAACGGCTGCCCTGTTGCACAGCCCCTTCGTAGTCTATATTGGTCTCTCATGTAAACCTCAATCTTTTATCCTGGATAATAAGATTTCCTTACCCTTCAAATCTTGTCAAATCCCACTCAAGTCAAGCCCTCCCAAACCAACATGGACATGTTATGATGGAAGTAGACTTACCATAAATCTGAGCGTCCTGGCATGAGCCTCTTCTTTCCATTGAAATAAGGTTCAAAATCTTGGGTCTTGAGTCTGTGGGCGTAGTCTATATAGCCAGATACTTCCTGTCCAAGTGTATTATGATCCCTTATGAAAATGACCGACTGTAAAAAGAGAGAAAAAGAAGGAAACCCTCTGTGTAAATAATCATGGCCATCGAACCTCTCGAGTAAAAGCCAAGAAGGCCAATATCAGTTGTTAAAAGTGGACTAATAGGGGGGATCTTGTACAAATCCTCCCACTGTGAAATACAAAGGCTCATGTTATACTTTGAATAAAAATTCAAATGAGAAACAATTCCAACTTATGTTGTCCTGCGCTGGTCCAAGCTGACCATACTTTGAATAAAAATTCAAATGAGAAGCAATTCCAACCTATGTTGTCATGCGCTGGTCCAAACTGACAGAGGTTGGCTGTCTACACAATATCCTGCTCAGATACACGCGTGGGACTCGAGCTGAATCCTTCCACTTACATTAACTAGAGAGTGAGTTCCGTTCCAACACACCTACGGTCGCGGCGAGAGCGTAGCTTGAAATGACATGAAATGTGGAGTCCTGAGTTAAACCTTTTAGTGTAAGTTGTGTAAACAGTATATTTTATAATATGCTCATAATTAATTAAAAAAGGGGGCCAAGTAACAACAAAGAAGGATTTTAACATTCCCTATAACGGTTGTAGCCTAAATAAAAACACAACACCTAAATTCAAATTCCCTTAAGGACTAGAGCTGCACAATTATTGCAAAAATCATGATCACTATTATTTTAGTCCATATTGAAATCATGATTATTTAACACAATTATGCTTTGACTTTGAAAACATCATGGACTTGGTTTTAGGGCGAAGACGTTTCACCTCTCATCCAAGAGGCTTCATCAGTTCTGCCCGATTGGCGTTGAGCTGGAGTTAGCGCTAGTGCACCTTTAATGTATCAGACTTTGAGAGACATGCGCAGGGTCTACGGATCAGTCACAATTACTGTACATGATGGTGGAGGTTTACACACTGGTGTTTGCAGAGCCCGCTGTAAGAAGCATGTATCCCTGAATGGTAGAAAGAACATTTTTAATTCACAATTTTACTGACAAAATAAAGTGGCTTAGTGTAGAATATAAAAAGCAATAGGATAAACTCATGGCTCAAGATCATGTCTGAGACTTTTAGAAACTGTTCAAAAATAACTGGCTGTGAGGGCGATTCTCCAAATGCTGATATCTGATTAGGGCACAACGAGCAAGAACAAAAAGGGGCTGGATTCTCCATCACAAACAAAACACATAATTTTAAAGACAGCTTCCCAGCTGCTCATCAGAGATTAGGTCTTTGAAGTGAGCTCAAACCAGACACGACCTGGAAAAAAGGATGACACACAGGTTTGTCACCAGATTTAGACAAAGCAAATGAAAGGCATGCTGTCCAAATCCCCTCGGGTGACAGCAAAACATGAAATGATCTTCTCATGTTGATTTGATGGTTCAGATAACACAGGATGACAATGGATGGGAAGAACTCCAAACAGAGGACACACTCAGGTGTGAAGAGGATGTTTTGTCTGCTTTCACAAAGAGAAAATGCTGCTTTTCTTCTTTCATTTGTGCCTCATCTTAAGAAGACTTGTTTTTTGACTCTGAGCATGACTGAGTCTCACTTGTCGGCCTACAGTAACACAGTAAGAGAACCCAAGTGGAATACCTCAGCTAGCAATCACATTTGTACGACTGTCAGGACACAGGCCATCTGTGGATCCCTTTACAAAAAAGGCGTGAGATAAGTAGCGCTGCAGAGCTCAGAAGAAAAGTGGGCTCCTTTCTCTCTGCTTTAAACGTTTAAAACAGATGCTATCAGGTTCACAGCTGGCTGGAGGCCTGGGCCAGATACCCTGTGTACTGGCTTCTGTCCTGCCACAGCCAGCCTTGAAAAGACATCATCAGGTGGACCCAGCAAAACAGGACAGAACATTTGGGAAGCGGTGATAAAAATATCTTTTTAAATTGGTCACCGGTGATTATTACAGGACCTATTTAGGAAGGAGGTTGGAGTGGACGAACGGGTCAACAAAACATTAGACTTTAACTCCTGAGACTACTGTTTGTTTGCAAACTGTCAACACCATTTCTTTTCACCATGATCATGTCTGCTCTGAAATATTAACCACATGTTTAATATTTTAACAACAACAGTGAATGCCCTCCAACCTCAACCCTTTACC